ACCCTAAACCCTAAACCCTAAACCCTGAAGCCCTAAACCCTAAGCCCTGAACCCTGAACCCTGAACCCTGAAAACCCTAAACCCTAAACCCTGAAACCCTAAACCCTAAACCCTAAACCCTGAAACCCCTTATAAACCCCATATTTCCTGTGAACGGAGGCCTCCCGTCTTCGCTGGGCCAATGTCGTGGAATGCCTCTGCCAGCTCGGAGCCAACGTCGACCAGGCGCTTCTTTGGGTCCCCTTTTAGGGTTTAGGGTTTAGGGTTTAGGGTTTAGGGTTCAGGGTTTAGGGTTTAGGGGTTTAGGGTTTAGGGTTTAGGGTTTAGGGTTTAGGGGTTTAGGGTTTAGGGGTTAGGGTTCTGGGTCCCTCTACTTAGGGGCCCAGGGGACGTAGTAAGTCGGTTACAAGTAGGGTTATAATTGGGGTAACTCCATTTTGCGTACTTATAACTCTATTTATTTCCTACTTACTAAGTCCCCTTGGCCTCCAAGTAGTGACCCCAAGTGTCACAATCACCTACATGTCTATACTCGGTTCAGGGTTTAGGGTTATGTATGTATATGAGACATGGTCTTTCTACATATATATATATATATATGTGTGTATATATATATATATATAATCCTTGTACGGAACCCCCGAAAAAGGGTAGCTTCTTCGGGGCTTTTGGTATACCCGCTATAAACCCTTCTGAGTCTAGGATTGAAGGGTTTGAGGTTAGGGTTGTGGGTTCTTGGGTGCGTGAAGGCTAAATTTGGGTTTAGGATTTAAGGTTTCGGGGTTCGGGGTTTCATTGCGAGCTTTTGGGCGAAGAGTGTCGTTGCGTATGCAGCTAGTTTTGTGTTTGTGATGACAGAACGGTTAACGGCTAGTGGGCCATGCAACTATGAGTACTGCAAAGTCACTACCACTCTCATCCAACATCCCTAGACTGAGGGTTCAGGGTTTAGTGTTTAGGGTTTAGGGTACCTGAAGTTGCGGTAGGATCCCTGATATGTGATGAGTTAAGAAGATTTTCCCTGATTTAATGGATCTTCGATGATCTTGGCATGGCTGCATGTACAGTTGACCACTAGGATGGTAATTAAGGCTTCAAGGGTAGCAGGGGAGCCGAGTCCTGGAGCCAAGAACTCTCATCCTCGAATGCCTGTGACGAATGCAGGGGGGCTTAAAAATCAGATTGTTTTTTGTTTAGGGAGAGGGCGGGGCTGGCGGGGTTTCATCGTATACTTAAAACAAGAAACGCCGAGAAGGAATAGCATTATTGAGTATTCCGACCCCTCGATTGCCAAAAAAACCCAAAACATCTGAGCACATCGAGCACAAGGCTCCTAGACCCAAATCCAAAGCCACAGAAAGCCTTCAAAACTGTCTCAAAATCCCTTGTGCTTCGTGTTTTTGTCTCTTCGGGTTAAGCCTGAACTCCAAGAGATATTCAGTTGCTTTAGGGTTTTGGGTTCAGGCTTTAGGATTTAGGGTTGT